TTAAAGATATCAACCGATGCACGTTGAGAACAATCGACCGATGAAACATTACCAATATCGATCGATTGAAGACATTAACCATCGATCGATACAGAAATCTTCCAAGTGATTAAATAAACATTAGAAGCCCTAATTGCTTCACAAGAGTTTTAATAATTACACTTTAAGTCCCTGGCCGTCTGTTAGGCTATAATATGAGGGTTTTGTACTAGTTTAGACAGACTTCTCGAGAGAGATCTTTTGAGACCTAATTTAGAGAGAAGCATCTAGCTACACTTTGAGAGGAGCTTAGGAGTAGAGAGAGATCTGAACTGCAAATCCAGAGAAGATCTTTAACTTTTTTTCTTTACTTATTTTTCTTACTGTCTCTCTTGCTATTAATATCTTTAAAGCATTATTCAAACCATTATGACTTTGTCTCTCATGAATATGTTTGAGTAGTCTATCTTGTTAGATTTAGGTTACTCATTAAGGTTGACTCATGCATTGAATAAACCATTACTAGGGTGTTTAAAATATAGTTCTTCATCTAGTCATCATAAATGCTAATGATAAGGATTGATCACCCTTATCTCTGATTTTAGGATCAATATGGACAAGTGATAACTTGGCAGTTACCTGAAATCTAAGTAAATTTAGTGAAAACTAGAGAATCCTTCCAAACTTGTTATCAAAACTCGCTGGAGTCAATATCGATCGACGAGGTAATCATCTTGTCGACCGATATGGCAAAGAGTCATCGATCGATGATTCGACATAATATCAATCGATACCTTCTCATGGTCATCAGACGATAAATGTTGACCTGAGACCAGTGTGAGTTAATCCTTTAGGTTTAAAACCTCTAAAAGTTTGAATCATGAACTATGAACAATAAAAACCCTTTATAACTTGCATGTTTGTCATACCTGATAAAATACCTAAGTCTAACCTTCTTTCCTCTTAGCAACCCAATCAAGAAATTGAGCAATCACTGCTCACCTTTTAAGTTACTGTTTAAGACTTGCTATCTAGCTTTATTTCTAAAACTAAATAATCTGTTGTGTAATCCTAGAGTCTCTGTGGATTCGATCCCTAAGTACTACGACTGAACCTCTTTTGATGAGAGTAATTCACTCCTTAGGGTAATTTGAGTGATATCACCTAACCATTGATGCCACAAAGTCTGATCAGAAACTACCCCAACTCTGTTAGCTCGAACTGTTGATACATTTGTTAGATAATACACTCCATCCCGTTCTTCATTGGTTCTAATCAGGATCCTCGTGAAACGGTCCTGAACAATACACAAAGTGTCACTAAACATTGCAAAACAGTTCTTTAATTGTTTAAGAAGTTTAGACACATAAATCAATGAACAATTGAGATCCGCAACTTAAAGAACGTTAATAAGAGAGATTGCATTGGTAATACACAATACGCCCATGCTGGCGGAATATGTTTTACTTCCATCCGAAAATCCCACTAAACATGGAGATGTAGATCAACAAGTAAAGACAGATCCCCTATCATGTGATGGGAACCACAATGTGATGATATAATGTCACCTGAGAACTTACTTGAGAATTTGTCTTATATCGCATACTTTAATTTTTCTTGAGGAATCAAACTTATCGCTTTCCATTGTCTGCAGTGAGTTTTTAAAAAATAGAAGAATGTGAAGACGTCGCATGAACGACGTTTGCTGATGCTCTTCCACAACTTGGAGCTGACCCAGAGCTTCCACGGCCACCGTGACTGCTTCCTCTTCCGCGATATATTCATGATACCATGTTAGCTTCCATCAAAAGGCTTTCTCATGTTCCGAGCGGACACAATGAGAACAGATCAAGCGATCTCCGCTTTTGCTCCCACTAGAGTCAACCCATAACTCAGAACCAGAGAAATCCCCTCGTGTAGCAACCAATAACGTCGGTAGGCTCGCATGTTTTAGAAGAGAAGAACATTTTCTCTTCTCGTATGAATTGAGAATATACTTGTTCCAAATCTTGAGAGGGGTCTGCATCAATGATGGTGGTGATCACATTAGCAAATCGTGGTTCATCAAGGCCCATTACAAACTGTTGTACTTTATTTAGCAAATTTTTCCGAAGGACCACACGTATACGCTGAAATAGGCTTGGATGTGTAAAGTTCATTCCACATTGCCACCATTCTTCCTTAATAATCAATTACAGATTGACCATCCTGATGACAACTTGCAAGTTGAGCTCGAAGATGATGAACTCGAACCTTGTGCCCACATAAAACCTCTTCTTTAGGTTTTCCCATAACTCGTGAGAACTTGTAAGAAACGATATTGTGTATCAAACACGAGGAGTAATGGAATTTCACAACCATCCAATAACCATCGAATTAACCGATGTCATAGACTCCAAATCGGCACCGCGGCGTTCGGTTTGGAAATCGAGCCATCAAAGAACCCAATTTTCTTCTTAACGTTAAGAGCGTTCAACATCTGAGAAGAAACACTCATTAGCGTTCAACAACAAAGCCGAAATAATTATTTCGCCTAGATTATCAGAAGGGTACACTAAGTACAGTGTAACCACGTTGAAATCACCGACATATTTTGAAACATCGCTTTCTTGACTCATGACTTCGAGTATAAGTCTGTTTGATTAGAAAACAAGCTCGAGCAGAAGAGAAATTCTAATTTGAAGAGAGAGAAAAAGATAAAAAATAATCAGAGAAGATAAAAAATTAGGGTTTCAGGATAGCTGCTATGATACCATGTAAATAAATTGAATATGCTTTCTTATTGATCTCAAACTTTATACACAATATATATATATATATATATATATATATATATATATATATATTCTTGTATGACGGTTTAGCCGTAAACCCTAACTGTTAACATAGCCCAATACCAAAGCAACCTATGCTAAGAGATTCATGTGAATTGAACTAGCTGCTAATAACAATATCTACGTCTGCTTACATATGTAATGTCTTTTTGATTGTATTGGGTTTAATGATGATATATTTTAAACGATGAGGTCAAACCGAGTAGAGATTCATAGTGAACATTTCTTGAAACTCAAGTGAAGAAGATATAAGGCCTTGGCCTAACACAAATACTGAATATATTTGTTTGAAGCTCTAAAAAACAGAGTGTCTGAGAATACGAATTCAAGTCGTTGAGCCATGTAATTGGTTGTGAATTGAAGTCATAAGAACAAAATGATTAACTTGGTTTAACTATTATAGATCCTAAAATCCACACTAAGTATTTTGTAGTGATCAAGAGTTTAATTAGGGGAAGACAAATGATGTGGGCAACGATGCTCTTAAACACAACGATACAATCGGAATTCGGTTGACAAAAATGGACTTTTATTGAATATGGAATTCGTTTACTAGATGATGAACAATATCAAAAACAACAATGAAAACTAGAAGTAACAAGCGAACTAGAAATCTATGGAATTAGGTCGATGTGATTAGTGAATAACTCTAGGATTTTTCATGTGTGTTAGATTCTATTATAGCTCCTTTTAATAGCCTTCTCCTCCACCAACTGCTTCCGCGATCTTCGGGATATCATTTCGATCTCGTAGAGTCCGGTCGATGTTGAGCTCGTGATGGTCTTAGATGGGCTTGGGCCTTCTTAGCTAGTTACCGAAATTGGGTCCAACAACTATCACTTATCAATATTTATTTAATTTTGAATCAAAATGTTTATTCTGTTAAAATATCAGCCACAACTTCATTTCATGTATGATTTACTAAGTTGTACATTACGTTAAAAATTTATAAATATATTTCATTACAACTAATAATAATATATGTGTAATTACTTAAATCGTAATATCTTTATATATATATATATATATATATATATATATATATATATATATATATATATATATATATATATATATATATATCTAATGTCTAACAAATTTGTTGAAAAATATTTTAACAATATCTTAATTTACAAATTGTATATAACCATTTTCATAACTTTTAATTAATAAAAATTATAATTATCAATTAATATATATTCAGTTAATCTTTATAAAATGACAAATAAAAACTCTATCATATTTTAATCATATATTAAGACTAATAATATAAGATATGTGTAACTATTTTAATCATAATATCTTTTGATATCCTTTCTTTTTAATATATATACATATATATATATATATATATATATATATATAAATTTGAAAAATATTTTAACAAGATCAGAATTTAAAAAATTTTATATTAAAAAATTAAAAATTTTGTAAATAATAATAAAATACTATTATCAATTAATAATCTGTTTTTTATAAATGAAAAATAAAAAGGCAGTTCTCTCAAATATACCTTTTTATGTTTTATTACAAAAATAGATTTCAAAAACTAAAATGACCAAAATAACATTTTTTATTTTGAAAGTTTTAAGTGTTTTTTTTTTTAAATTTAAAATTATATCCCCAAAACTCCACTCCTCAACTCTAAACAAAAATATCTAAGATTAGTTAATCCAAAGAGTATAAGTGTATACTTACTTATTTTTGATAAAATATTTAAGTCTATTTTAGTTATTTTATTTTTAATGTCTATATTTTTTCTTTTCAAATTTGATCTTTTATTCATATATTCATTCGTTTAATAATCAAATATAAATCTAATTAAATAAATATATACTAAGAAGCAATTATAGATGTGAACAATTGATTAATTACGACATGTAAATTATAAAATTATTGTATTGTAAGAGTTATATTAATATTTAAATATATGATTACTTGAAATATATGTAGCACTATAAAACAAATTAATATCTATCTAGTTTATCTATTTAAGGTTGTTGTTGGCTTTTGTTTCTTAAAAGATTCTTCTGGGTGTTAATTTCGAAAAACGACAAGAAAGTATGATCCACACGAATACCACAGGTGGCCAAACTAAAGTTGGTGCTTCAGCAACCTGTCTTTTGTATGCATGTAAATCTTCTACCAAACCATCTTAGTTCTTAAAGAGATCGTGCAGCTGAACTCAACGAAATCAAGAAGACGAAGAGCTTTCTTTTGAGATCCGAGGAGAATGGAGACTACCGTGAGGAACAAGCAAGTGATACTAAAAGATTACGTGAAGGGTTCCCCTAAAGAGTCTGATCTACTGATAGTTTCCAGCACCGTGGAACTTAAGGTTAAGCCTGGATCATCGGCTATTCTGGTGAAGAATCTTTACTTGTCTTGTGACCCTTACATGGGGATTCTCATGGGAGAACCAAATCCTTCGACCTCAGCCCTCATGGATGTCTTCTTCGTCCCTGGCAAGGTAATAACATAACTCAAATACGCACTTACATATGCATACTTTTGTTGATACTTTGTGCATGTTCAGCCTATAGCTGGAATTGGAGTGTCGAGGGTGATAGATTCTGATGATCCAACTTTCTCTAAAGGTGATTTTGTTTGGGGAACGGTCGACTGGGAAGAGTATAGTATTATTAACCCAACGGGTAGCTTCAAAATCGACCTCAATATCAATGTTCCTCTCTCCTACTACACTGGAATCCTCGGTTAGTATCGCGTTCACTATTTCGGAAATGAGAATGCCATAACAAAAAAGGGGATAATGATATATGGACCCATTTACCAAATTGTTACACCCGCCTCCTTGATAAGACTGTTGGATCAATTAATCAAGCCATTTGGGCTTCATATCTAATTGAAAAATTGTGAAAAGAAATGGCCCATTCAAGAGGCCTGTTTGTGTAATGAAATGAGTCATTAGTTTCTCCCACATCGGGGAAATGAAGTAGAGTTGAGTTGTATATATATGCACTCTCACTCTCACTTAATTAAAGAACTCAGAGGAAGAAAGAG